ATAGTAATGTGAAAACATTAAAAATAATTAAAGGGATAATTTTCGTATTGTTTGTTTTGTAAAAAAAAAGTTTGGAAAAATGTAAAAAAAATTGCTCACATATAATTATGCATAATTTTATATATAATTATACATAATACAAATAATTTTTTTACATTTCTTAAAACTTGATTTTTTCTAAAATAAATAGTGTAAAAATTACCTTTTTAATTATTTTTAATATTTTCACATTACTATTATTATTTCTATTATACTAAAAAGTAATTTTTTATAAAAGAAAAAAGGATATATGAACATTTATGAATATATTTCATACATAATTATATATGTTTTATGAATATTTATGTGCGTTTATATATGTTTATACATATTTATACATATTTATGCATAAAAAATTGTTATACTGGGTAGTCACCACTAAATCTATCAATAATAATTCTCTAATTCAGAATTTGTTCCCATAAAAAATAAAAAAAATGTCCACATTATTAATTAATAGTAACGACTCAGAAATGAAATATCATATTAATGTTAGCCTTAATAATTTTGATCTTAATTACAATTTAAATAACATTAAATGACAAATGGATCATAATTTTAATAGCATTGATATTCCAGATAACGTTAAACTCGTATTACAACTTGGTCAACGTTTTAACCTAATAGCATTTTCTACCTATAATAACATTATCAATGAAAAAAAAAATCTCAATAGAATTGATTAAGTACATCGATTTAATTAAAATAGATAAAAGAACACGGAATTTAATCAGAAATGATTCATTACCTATTTTAAAAAATACATTACAAACAATACAGATAATAAATTAATTAAGGAGGACTTAAAAGCATTGAATAATTCCATCTCTGACCATTCCGATATTCTAATCATCAAGACTGATAAAGGCAATACCGCCATAATATTAGGTTTAAATGATTATAACGAAAAAATGCAAAAAAAATTTTATCAGATCCAGACATGTACATGACTATAAAAAAAGTTCAAAAATACTAAAAAAATGGTGATGAAAATTCGCACATTACTAACAAAATGGCAAATCAAAAAATTTATTGCTCAAGATACTTATAAAAGACTGTATACCTCTGATAGAAAATTGTCTAGGGCTTATGGACTTATCAAAGTACATAAAGAGGAGATTAAAATCCTTTAAGAGTTGTCAGTTGCATCAGTCCTTTTTTTAATTTATCATCCTTTCTAAAAGACATCATTGAAAAAAGCATGGAAAAAATTTTTGGTTATATAAAGAACAGTTTTGATCTTGTAAATAGATTTAATAATATGTAACTGGAACAAAAGTACTAAATCGTGCCCTTTGATGTAATGTCTATGTATACAAATAAGTATGAATTAATATTAGATGTAGTGAAAAGAAAATCCATTATTTTTGCATGAAATTGAATAGAAAAATAATGGATTTCTTTTTACTACACCTAATATTAAAGAGTATAGAAAGAAGATGAGACTGAAGATGAGACAAACTTTGCAAAAATACTGCAATATCAATAAATAAGTTCATAATAGCAGTCAATTATTATGGATCTACTTTTTTCAAATTTAATGACACAATATAATAAACAATTCTTTGGTTTGCCTATGGATTCTCCTCTTTCTCTTATTTTAGCTAATATTGTTTTACAAGACTTCATCAAGACATCATTCGAATATAGTTTACAAAATAAGTTGCCTTGATTGCAAATTTTCATATATCAAGCAGACTAAAAGGAGGCTTAACACTCGTATAAAGGAACATAAATCGGATATCAAAAAGCCTGAAAACAATATCTATAATTTTCCTTCACCAACTTGATTATAATCACAACATTAACTGACATAACGTAACGATTCTTCATTTACAGCAATCATACTTCAGAAGATCAGTCTCAGAGATTACAATATAAAAAGACTAAACTCTGGAGTAAACATGCAAAGTGATACAGATCGACATTTCCAGATATCTATATTTGTCCCTAATTAACAAATTCCCTCCCCTATTACAATTCCATCATAAGTATAAAAGATACTGATATTCGGCATAGTATACTTAATATTGTATACTTAATATCTCATTTTCTATCAAAAAGAATTCCTTTATCATCATATCATTATAATATTTACACAAATATATGTGCATTATACAAAAATTGTGAGGATTTTTGTTCACAAACACAGATATGTTTTAATAATTATATTAATTATTATAATTATAATAATTATATTAATTTATAAGAAATTTTAATCTGTAACA